GGTAGCAGCAGCGAATTGGGGGGGAGAGAGAGGGAAGAAGAGAGAGAGAGAGAGAGAGAGAGAGAGAGAGAGAGAGAGAGAGAGAGAGAGAGAGAGAGAGAGAGAGAGAGAGAGAGAGAGACACCTTCTTCTTCTTCTTCTTCGATTGCTTCCTCCTCTTCTTCCTCTTCCTCTTCTTGTTCTTTGTCTTCCTCTTCCTCGTCGTCTGTGTCCTGCATGTCTAGGGTGGACTCCGTTTAAGCTGACTTCGCGGACGTACAGGACAGTCGGACTATAATGAAGTGTAACAAGTGTCGGTTTTCTGCAATTGCAGCGTTGATTGCGTGGACTCGTGTCTTCTTCTTCTGTTTTTCGTCTTCTTTTTCCGTCTGTGTCACTGTGATTCCCGGCTGCTATTGATTGAACCGTGTATAAGGCTGTATCAGCCTGTATGAGCCTGTATGAATGTCGACGGTCATCCGCCAACAGAACCCCTCATCACCCCTGCGGCCCGGCCCCAAAACACCAAAGCAAAATGTCGAAATATGCAGTGAAACCGTTACCTGCATCAAACTCCTCTAAGCCCTCGAGCATGAAACCTGTCTCTTATACACATCTAGATGTGTATAAGAGACAGGTGTTGGACCCGACACAGCAAGCGCGATGCAGCCCCGAACTCAGATTTGAAAAACAATCAGCGGATGACTGTTTTCTGACTGGTCGGCGGACCGCCGAACGGTCGGCCCTACGGCTCGGCCCTACCGCTCGGCAGGCGGCTGGGGTGCAGCCCTGCTGTACAGTATGAAAAAGACTTGGAACGTGTCAGGGAGAATATTAGGAAAGCTCAACATCAGATGATTGAGCAGGCCAATAAGCATTGCAGACCTTCACAATTTGCTGTAGGTGAGTTAGTTTGGGTTAAGTCAAAAGAGTTTCTCCCAGAAGACAATGTATCGCAGAAGTTGCTACATGCCATGGCATATTCTTGATGTCGTTGGGGATGTAGATGGTCCTTTCGATGTTGTTGAAATTCCACCTCATCTACATACCTAGCTGGTATTTCATGCCTCTAAGTTGCTTCCCTGTGTCAGTAATGATCAGTTCCCATCGAGGTGGGCTATGATTCCCCCTGATATGGGTTGTAAGTATGATGTAGATAGGATAGTTGCAGAAGATGTCTACAGATCAGGATGCGCAGGGAGAACCCATCGACAGTACAAAGTTAGATTTGCTTACCAGGAACCTACGGAAGATCGCTGGTTTACTAGAGACGAGTTGATTGAAATGGCCCCGCATATAGTTTCCTATTATATAAGGGCTCGTAGAGGTGTTAACATAGTAGATAGCGAAAGTTTGTAACTTTCTCGGAGGACCTCGAAATCAGGCCGGCGAGAGTGAAAGGCATTTTCAGGTTGCAGACCCCAAATTTGAGTCCCAGGGTCAAGGTCCCCAAGCCAAAAGAGGCCACGAAGGCCAAAACAGAAGAGGTGTTGAGTCAGGTACCCCTTAGGCCACACAGGTCAGAATTCAAACGGTACCCGACGTGAAAGACGAGTCCCACAGTCAAATGCAGCAGTGTTCCAAGGAAAAGTCTGGATTTGCTCATTCGCAAGAAGGTGGAAGCGCTGCTGGTTTTTGTGCGCTATTGCGAGTGACCGAGCGCTAAGGATCCCTGCTGGGCAGCGCTAAGCTGTGGAAGACAGGCGGCCATAGCCGCATAGTAGTAGTAGGGCATGAGTAGGAGGCGGATGTATCCAGGGTTAAGATCCTCGTAGTAG